CTATTTCACATATTTATAGATTTGTTGTCAGTTGTCTTATCGTTCAAACTTATCAACTAATTCTCTAGAATTAAATTATAAATTTTAAACCAATATTTATTCAAAGATCTTTCTAATTTTTATGAGGAATACATACCAATTTTTCGAATTATCATCAATATCTTTCGATAAGTTATTGAGGGAATATACTAAAATTTGAAAATCATATCACCTTGATTTTATAACAAATCATCCTAAAATTCGTCTTCCATATTCATACCAAAAAAAAAAATTCATATCAATTATTTTGTTTTTAAAATTTCCAAATATACTTCTGTCCATACCAAATAAATTTCATACCATTTAAATTCAGACATTTCATACCAAAATAAAATCATCCTCTTTATACCGTAAATTTGGACATTTAAAAATAATATATTTTCTATAAATTATTATCATCAGACATCTCAAATAAAATTGCCCACTTTATATGAAAACCTGGTTTATTAAATTTGCCAACATTATACCATAAATTGATTAATTAATTTGTAGAGGCGAGATTTTTTAAAACTATTCAAAAAAGATTAACGTGTTTAGTAATTTAAAATTTTTTGACGGAATTTTAGTTTCTATTTTAATTAAATGCAAACTATATATATATATATATATATATATATATGCCTTTTTAATTCGTAACATATAATAATTTTATATACAATGTACATCGATCATATTTCAAAAGAAACATTGTGTTAGAATTGAAGAAAAACGTGATTTGAATCCGCAATATATATACATCAAACTTGTAAATATATAATATATATCATTTTGTTATTTAACTTTAAAATAAGATTGGATCTATCATCACAAGTTAATTCAATATTAAGTTGGTTTTAGGCAATGTGTAATTACCAAATATGTTATACTATTTTATTTCCTTTTATCATTTAGTTTTTTCAATTATATGTTATTATATTTCCTTTCTCTTCATGGTTTAATTTTTTTATTATTAAATTATTGTTTTTACTTCCATATGTTCATCTATAATTTTCCTTGTTATTTATTTTTACTTTGCACAAAAACGAATTAAACCAAGTGCTCTGATACCACTTGTTGGCGTTCTATGAGGAACATCGTATTTTTGGAAGTCACGAATTAACCTACAAAAATAAACCTAAGCACAGTGGAACAAAGTAAGGATTGAACTCTTACAATTAAAAACTTTTGCAGACTCTGACACAATTACACGGCCTACAGTGCCGGACGAATTGTTCTGAGATGATCTTCTCACCATTGTCCTCCTCGCCTTTGGTTGTGTGCTTGGTTGCTGCTCGCCCGGATGACGTCTCGCTTGGTCTTGCTTGTGCATCGTCAGGCGTCACTGATCGCGACTGGGCTAGTGTGCGCTCATGTGTTGCTTTGGCGTGCGTGTGCGGGTCGCGCTGGTTGCGGCTACGACTCATTGCGGCTGAGGCTGCGGTGGTCGCAGGGGTTGCGCGGACTCATGCGGTGGTTCGTGTGGCCTCGTGTTACCTCGAGACTTCTGTCGTAGGACCTGACACGTTCTCTGTTCGTCTTTGTGGGTGACGATCTCGAAGATATCTCGATTGGGATTCCAAAATTCACGAGAACTCTCAAAGCAGTATGTTATGTGACTCTTAAGTTTTGAGCGTGTAAGGCGTGTGATATAGTAGTTATATGTTTCTAATTTAAATAGTTTATATTTATAATGTTCCATTTACTAATAATATAATTTATAAATTGCAAAAATTAAATTAATGCAATCAATATTGTAATTATATGTAAGTTAAATAGTGTATATTTATATCTTTATTTTATTAATAATAAAATTTGTAAAATGTGATTGTTCATTATTTAACAAATAATTTTATGTATTGTATATATAAAATAATTATTACTTATAATATTTTATTTACACATGTGCTAAAATTAACTAATAGTTAATAACTAATTAGTTATTAGTTAATAACTAATGAATAATTAGAAGTAATTAGGTAGAGTAGTCGTACCACGCTTCAAACATGAGTATCCCTTTTCCCTATTCGTTATTATCAAAAGGTTTGAACCGTTGAGGAAACCAGTGCGTAGAAT